TGGAGCTAGACGCAATTCGCTTGCGCCGCTGCCTGAATGTTCTATTCAGTAGACTGATTTCTGGGCATGGAAGCCCTAGAACAGCATTCAGAACAGCCCACATCCCTATTCAGAGAGATTACCTGCCTGCTTGCCAAATGAACTAGTTTTATCATGGCGTAACTCGCGACCGCCCGTGGTGAATAGCTTCCAGTAGGGAATAGCACACCTAGATAGAACCTAGAAACCCCAAATAGTGCATGAACCAGCCCTATATGGATAAAATGAATGATTGGGTATGGACCCTTGGGCCTGAGCCCATATAAAACAGAAACAGAATCCGGATGTGGCGCTGCTAGAACCAGCTAATCAAATGTGAACTAGACTTTTAAAATAGGCCCTGCCCTGTAAAGTTATAAAAGGGCAGTAAACCTGACCTGGACCACCCCCACTCTGCCACGCACCACACACTGCCCACTGCCCCATCCACACTCCGCCAACCTGCACACTGCAAATGCAGTCAGTCACCATCTACGCAAAGGAGAGAGGGAGAGCGCCGGCGGACCTACCACGCAGCAACCGAGTCCGCGAGGTTGTGTCGTACGACGTTGTGTCTACGCCTCCTAAGCCGCTCTGCGTTGGTATGAAGGTCGTGGTCTACACCCTGAGGAGATGGAGGAACAGCGATGGCCGCCTGTCGGACGGGCATGCTGCGGAAGAAGCAGGAGTTGAAGGCGAGATCATCGGAATCCGTACGATGGAGCTGGCCTTCACTGAGCTCATCGTGAGCAACAAGAACCTGCGATCGACGATTGGGACTGCATACCTGGCCATCCAGCACATCGAGGGGACAACGGTGAGCTTGGGGCTCTGGCGCACGGCGCTGCGTACCATCTCTCTCCCCTTCCTGCCGCACACTCGCCACATCCCGCTGGAGACAGGAGAGATCGTCGTGAACCCGCTGTGAGCGACGTCCGGACGTATCGGCCGAAGCATTCCGATAGAAGGAGCCGATGGCGCGGCGGCGGCGACGCTGACTTTGGACGATCGGGGAAGTGCGGAGAGAGCCTGTCGAATCTGGACGAGGGCGGGAGAGTGCCGGATGTAGCGACCGAGGACTGTCGTAGTAGAAGAGGAAAGACATTGAGCTGTCCGGGATGCGAATGTGCTGGCACGTGATCAAATCGCAATCAGCAAATCTGGACCTGGAATAATGAGATAATCCGAACTCCAGTACGCTGTAAATTGGCTACTCGAGTGCGGCTAGCCGCAACATGTCGTTCGAAACGGAGTGTCCAAATGCGCCCTTGCCTTGTCCGACGGTGGATGACTGATGAGTGAGAGGGCCCGGATAGCACGAAGATGCCTGACATGAGAAACCAAATAGAGACGAACGCGCCTGTACGGCGCCAAAGGGACAACCAAGTTAGGCAACCCGCTGCACACTCTGTGCGCGTGCGACCTCGAGCGCCCGTGTCGACCCCGATTCTGCCCCCATGCGCGAGCGAGCAAACAGGCGCGAGCACGCAGGAGCCGACGAAGAGGACAGGCCGCGCGAGCCTAAATATGCTGGAGGGTCGAGGGGGGTCCCCTGCTCGTCGCCCTACCCCCTCCCTCGCCGACGGCGACCTCTGAACTCCCGCGGACGCGCCCTCCAACGGCTCCGAGGCCTATGAACTCAGCTGAGCACCACCCGACTCCCCCGCCCCCTGGCGCTGACGGCGGTGGCGTACAAGACTGCCTGAACGTCCCTGCAGCAGGCGCGATGGAGTCCGAAGAGCGACTGGTGGGGAACGAGGGAACGCGCGACATGCAAGGACGTGCAGGTGAAGTCTCTTCTCCCTCCCCTTTCGACTCTCCCCTTTCCTTCAATGGCCATCCTACGGCATCGCCGCCTGACCCGACGGATACGACGCCGAAAGTGGGCACGGCTCCGAGGGGAAGTAGCAGCATTGGCCACCAACGCCGTGAAGAAGTGCCGGTCGACACTGTTGAAGACTTCATCCTTGCGCAGAGAGACCCAGATTCGCTCGGGTCGACGGTAGAGAGCGACGCATCGCTCCCAAGCACCCCGTCAAAACCCGCCGCTGTCGGAGCGATCTTCTTTGCTCCCAGAACGCCCACGACGGCCCCCCAAGTCGAAGTACACCCGGGTGTGCGTATCAAGAAGAGAGCCCGTCTCTCCTACTCGCCCCCGCAGAAAGCGCAGAGCAACGGCAACCCATCCTCTGGGACGCTGACGGAGAGACTCATGCGCTCGAGGACGAAGGCCCGCGCTGAACTAGCGAACACGTCGGGACGCCGCGCTGAAGGTGCGCGGCGATGCTGCGACTGGAATGTCGTCTGAACTACTCTAACGGACTCTCTGCAGGCCCTGAGACTCCTGGCGCGCGGAGCTCGGTTGTTATGCTCGCCTTTCCGGCCCTGGGGAGAGCTCCGGGCGACGGCGCAAACGAGCAGGAGGCGGCCTCTTCCTCCCAGACAGCGGCTGACTTTCACAACACGCCCCAAACGACCCCCTTACCCGGGAAGGGCGGCGACTGGACGATGAGCTACGACCAATACATCGCGGAAGCGGGCCGTATGTATTTCGCGCAGAAAGCAGCGCACGAGGCCGCGAACGCGGTGACGAGTGGGGAACCCAAGGAGAAACTGCGCGAGAGTACGAGCGTGCAGGAGCCCGAGTCGGCCCCCCCGCAGACGTTCCCCGTAAGCACGAGCACGTACAGCGCGTTGGCGGGATGGGATGGAGGCGCGAGCGCGCCCAATGGACACGCGGCGCTGGCCAATGTGAGACTGCATCCTCACGTATGAAGCTCGTCCTTATTTCTGACGTCCATCTAGACTGGCGCGACGGCCTTTGCGAACCTCGCGCCGGCTCAACAGCAAGTCTTGACCGTGCAAGCTCTGCTAGCGCAGCAAGCGGGGGCGGCGACGACTCAAGCTCAACCACCGCAGCACGCGATGACGCCACAGCTCCCCGGCGAGAGAGACAGGAGCACGTCCCTCGACGACATGGACATCGACGCGCCGAACTTCGCGCAACAGGCAGAGTCGAGCATCGTGAACGCGCCCTCGACGGCGGGCGATGCACCGCAGCGCGCGGATGGCTATCCTCTACCGCAGACCGCCCCGCGCCCCCTGACGTATGCGTCGGTGCCCCGCTCAGCGGCGCCGAGCTCGCACGATCTGACCGCGGCTGCGCCAACCTCCCAGCCCGTCCCCGGTCCATCGACGAGCATGCACTCCACTCGAACGCCGCACCCCGCAGAGCTCCCCCATCCCTTGCAGCTGCTGCCTGACCGTGTCTCGGTGCCCGCGAACTGGGCTGCGATGCTGAACGAGAGCGGGGTGCTGGCTGTCATCTGCGAGCCCGCGGAGGGCTTCCCGGAGTTCCACGGCATAGGCCTTGACTGCGCGCTCCAAGGCATGTCGGCCAGAAAGAAGTCTGGGTGGCGAATGCTAGACCCGGAGGTGGACATCATCGTCTTCGTTCAGAGTCAAACGGACTTCTACGAGCAGCGCGGCTATCTCAAGGCTGTCCAGGATCTAGTCACCGTGGTCGTGGAGAAAGTCACAGGCGAGAAGGGATTCGAGATCACCAAGCCGGACAAGGAGACCATGGGTCTGCAAGACGGTGACTACGGGCGAGCATGGCTCATCCACGGCCTGTCGCCGTTCGGACGAGCACTCTTCAGGACGCAGAGCGCCTGGCTGACAAGGGATGTCACGCTCAAGCTTATCTCGACCTACCGAGGCCTCTCACGCTACGTCGCGTCGTACAAAGGCTTCGACCACGACAAGGTGGAGCGCGTCCGGGGTGCCCTGCTCGAGACGCTTGGGGAGAGTGGAGATCTCGCGGCCCTAGCGAGCATTCTCTCTGAGAACAACGGGCACCGCCCGGGGGTCAATTACGACCTCATGGCTGAAGAAGAGATCCGGAAGATGGAGATCGTCGTCTACCGCGAAACGCTCAGGAGTCAGACGACGAGCGCGGCGGGCGGGAGCAACGAGGAACCGAAAGGTGAATACATCGCCTCCTTGTACTGCGACCCCCCGGTGCGCGAGCCCCTCTACCACGCCTGGCTCGAGTGGTGCCAGAACGTTGCTAATCGGGAACTCACGAGCACCTTCCACGACGACGCGGCCGTCCCCTGGTTCCCCGTACGCTGCACGGCCTGCCATGGCTGCGACCATGACCGTATCAACTGCCCCTTCGCTCGTATCCCCGGATGGGATGGCGCACTCAGGGTCAAGTTCGAGGAGAACGGCGCGAACTTCACGACGGAGGCGCCGCCTCCCCCGCACGCGTCGGATGGAGGACAGCACGTCCAACCCGCGCCCCACGAACCGGGCTTCTGCTACTACCAGAACCCGAAGCAAGCCGCTGCAGGAGACTCGCACTGGACGGCCGAGCCGCTCCCTGCGCCCGAGGGGATCCGATTTGTGTCTCAGTGGAAGCCGCCGCGCCCCCAACAGCCGCCGCCGCAGCCCCAACAGACCACACGCAACCAGGGCGCGCCGATGGGCGGATACAGCAACGCGCGCCAGACGCAACCCCAGAACGGCTACGGCACGCTGCGAGCGGACATGCGGACTGCGAGCCCTATGGACCCACACGCGGCGTTCGGACCTGGGGGCTACAGGAGCGTGAGCGCGCAGATCGCGCCCCAGCACACGGGGTACGCGAACTCGCGTACCGCGCCTGGGCCTGCGGGGTACACCAACGCGCGCGCAGGCCCCTCCAACCTGTCCTACGCCAGCGCGAGGGCCGCCCCTCTGAACTCGAGCTACGCGAACGCGCACCCGGGCCCCTCTACGGGGAGCTACTACGGCGCGCAGACTGGGATGCCCTACAACGGGTACGCTAGCCCGCGTGTGAACGCCTTCGGCGGGAGCTACGGTGGGCCGCAGCAGATCCCCGGTGGTACTCACTTCCAGGACGGCCCGCCGCCGGCGTACGACTATCCCCGCGAGCAGCAGCAGCAGCGGGGCGGGGGCAACCGCGCGCGCCGCGCCGCGAAGCAGCAGGCGGCAAACTACCCGCCGTACGGTATGCGCAGATAGATCCCCCCCCGTGATGTGACCGCCACCCCCTGTGTTCTCCCTCGACATGTAACTACCCCCCGTGAACGGCAGACGACGGCGCGGAATACGCTGCCGCCGCTCTTGGTACTAGCTCCATAATCACGATACTCTGTACATAATACGCGTAGTAAACGCGCTGAATAACGCATTCTTGCCCTGCACAACGACTGGGGAAGCGCGAATCACGATAAACATTGAACTGAACGCGCTCGCCCGAGGGCGCCCCCGACTTGGCCCGGACGAGCGCTGATTCTTCGACTTACTTGTAACCGCCCGCACGCGCCCGAATCTGAAGAAGGGTGTACCCGTGCTGCCCACCACCGTACACGAGAATGAGCGTGCACAGACTACAAGAAACGCATGGCGACGTGCCCTAACGCCGCCCCTCAGCGGGGCAGACTTAAGAACAACACGCGTTGAATGAGCGCCGCCGAAGCGCCCAGCGTCCTGCGAGAGTGCGGCGAACGCCTGCCTGTGAGCGATACACATGACGAGCGCTTCCCCGTGATCACCTGCATGCTGCGAACTCGGCAAGCACATGAGCGTGCGACGGGGCGCAGACCCCCGCCTCTCTCAATGCTCAATGCGCCACACTGCAAATGAATGGCTGGGACTCTGGCTAGCATGACTGCATCTGATCTAGACTGGCCCGCTGCCCTAACTGGGCGAACGCTGGAATGACGACTGAGGAAACCCAATGAAGGAAGCGATATCCCAAGGAACTGAACTGGAACCTGGCACACGTCTCTGGAAAGTGAGTGGATAGTGACCGCCCCATTCAC